TTTCTGTTGGATTGTGTGCCAGGTTTCAAAGCAATCCAAAGGAATCTCACCTAAAGGCAGTTAGAAGGATACTTAGGTATCTTGTGGGAACAACATACCTGTTCTTGTGGTATCCTAAAGGCAGTACCATTGATCTTATTGGATACACTGATGCAGATTATGCTGGGTTCCTAGTTGATAGAAAGAGCACATCAGGTATGGCACACTTCCTTGGCTCTTGTCTAATTTCTTGGGGTTCTAAAAAACAAAATTCAGTGGCTTTATCCACAGCAGAGTCTGAATACATAGCTGCAGCTTCATGCTGTTCCCAGCTACTGTGGATAAGGAACCAGCTGAAAGACTTTGGTGTTGTTTATGATAGTGTCCCTATCTAATGTGACAACACTAGTGCTATCAATATTTCCAAGAACCCCGTTCAACATTCCAAAACCAAACATATTGAAATAAGACACCATTTTTTGAGAGATAATGTGGAAAAAGGTTTGGTTGAAATGTTGTTCTGTAAAAGTGAAGATCAGATAGCTGATATCTTTACTAAGCCTTTATGTAGAGAGTCTTTTTGTAGGTTAAGAGTCCTTCTAGGTCTAGTTAGATTTTAAGTTTTTGGCTTCCACTTACTTCCTTCAATGATTGGTTAAAATTAGTATGCTTTATGTAGATTATGCACATAACTATGCTGTTTACTTACAAATATCGTGTAAATAATCATAATGGATTGTTATTGCATGGAAACAGGAGAAGTTAATTTGAATTATACGAGTGATAGAATGACTGGTTAAGTACAGGTACCAGCAGAGGGTAACAGCAGTTTAACTCTGATATGTTTTCCGAAAATATTTTTGTATTTTTGGAAGATTACTATAAGATAAATTCTTTTTGGAAAGAATTATCTTATTTCAGTTATTTCTATCATATAAAAAGGCAAACATTATCAATTGCCTAATTTCTAGTTGGTTAAATATTTTTGGTAAAAAGATAATTATCAATCTTTAAATTTCTTTTTGAATTTATCTTTTCGTTTTTTATTTTTTTTTTAATTTTGACCAGCTAGTTTTGGAATTCTGATATTTGTGCAATTCAATATATAAATACACATTAAACACCTTGGTGCAGTTTCACATCACATCATCATTCAAGTCATTCTCTCTCTCGTTCAAAAGCGTTGCCTAGTCACTGTTCATCCGAGTTTAATTTCTCAAAATCTTGCTCGATTTCAAACCCTACTCATCAAAATGAAAAGAAAAAGAACTTCTGGATCAGCAAAGAAAGGGAGTGGGAAGGCAAAATCAAGCGATTCCTCTCAATTACGGGGAAACATCGCTGCTATACAGAAACTCGTTCAAGCTGTTACACCCACACCCACATCATCCAGCAATTTACCACCCATCACTACACAGAATCCATCACCAATTTCATCCTCATCCACAAAATCTCCATCACCTTCACCTTCAAAAAATTCTCCTAAACCCAATTCCCCTGAAGTCGATGTCTCTAACATCAAAGAACCTGCCTCATCTCAGGGGGAACAACCCAGAAGTACCGGGGAATTCCTAGACATTGAAGGAGGGAAGGAAGATGAAGAAGTTCGAAGCGAAGAAGAGGACTTAAAATTCATCGGGGTCACAGAGGAAACACCCAAACCCTTGATTCGCAGCAGAGTCACCAGGTCTTCGCTGAAAAAGATTGATGAAGTGGAATTGGAAGAACAGTCCACAGACTCTGTTACTGGTACCAAAATGAAGAGAACAGCCCGAAAATCGGTGAAAGGTATGGAATCTCCATCTGTTGGTACGTCAGATTTAGAATCTAGGGTTGTGTTATCTGGGTGCAGAACAGAAGTTGGATACTTTGATGAAATTGCTCTAAGTTATGTAAAAGAACTCCTAGAATTTCAAGGTTGGTTATCTTTGTTCGATGTCTGTGATGCTAATATTGATGGTGTTAGGAAGTTTTATGTGAATTTGAAACAATTGCTGGATAGGTCTTTGAATTCGATTGTGAATGATATTGAAGTGCATGTGTCTGTTGCTAGCTTGGCTGGGTTGCTGAATATACCCAGAGATGGTTTTGAGGAATATTCTGGAGATGGGTGGCCCACTCTAATTGGGGTCAGTCCAGATGAAATTCATGATTTTGTATTTGGAGGGAAAGTTCCAAAGAAGGGTGGAACTTTTAAAACTGGTGGCTTGAAGGAACCAGTGATGCTGGTTCTACATTCTCTGTGTAATAAGATGTTTATCCCCAGAGCACAGGGAAGAGGTTTTGTGCGTATCATGGAAATGGTACTCATTTACTTGCTAATGACGAAGATTAAAATCAATCTTCCCTCCCTTATGATAAACCATATTATGAATTGTTATAATTCATCTCACCACTCGCTTCCCTATGGCTCTTACATTACTAAGCTTCTTACAAAGAACAATGTTTCTCTTAGTGGGTCAACTGCTCCTGTGATTGTATTTACCAAAGGTATTCTGAAACAAAAGGGGCTGATCTTTTGTGATGGTGTACTGAAGTTTAGGGAAGAGGAACCAGCAGAGCTTCCTAAACCTGCCAAGAAGAAGCTGAAGGCAGAGGAACCAGCAAGTCAGAAGGGTATCCTAAAGAGGCTGGAGAAACAGGAAGAAAGGATGAGTGTTGTTGGGGATAAGCTTGACAAGCTGATAAGTTTAGTAGAGGGTTTATCTACTTCGTTTATCTTGAGGATGAGCAAGTTAGAGAAACAGATTGCTAGCAGCTCTGGAGTTGAGAAGGCACTAGCTGAGGAGAACCAGCAAGCTGACCAGCAGAAATCTGACAACAAGGAGGAGGAGAACCAGGGTGATGCAGATGAGGAGGCTAACACTGATGAAGAGGAAGAAGATGATGAGAATGATGATGAATGAATTTGTCTTCTTTTTCATTTAGCCTACCTTATTATATTCTGAATAACTGATTCTGTTAAACTGTTTTTCTCCACCCAATCCATGAACCATTTTGATATGGATTTGGGTTCTTTTGTTTCCTTTGTGGGTCGTACTAAACTATAATTTCTATTGCTAATGTGGTTCATTTTGGCTGCTCTGACTCTCTTCTGCAGCACCTTGTTTGTATAATGGTTGATGCCATTGCATGGTTTAGCACATTACTTTGTGCATTTGATATTTTTTTAGCATACTTTTTAATGATGCCAAAAGGGGGAAGATAATTGAAGTTTGAAGTCTAAAGTCTAGTTAGTCTAGAAAGTTTAGATAGAGTCAGTTTTCAGTTTCTGTTTGAGTTGTTTTAATTCTTGTTTTTGTTTAGGGAACTAGTTGGCCTAACTGACTTGTTCCAAAGAGTCTTGAGTCCTTGAAGTTTTTGACGGTTTTCTTTTTGAGCATGTCCACAGGTTCAGGAACTTCAAAAGTTTGTCATCATCAAAAAGGGGGAATTTGTTGAGTCCCTTAGGTTTTGATTGATAGTTTTGAATGATGACAAACAGCTAAGGGAAACAGGTCCTTGAAAGTGTTCGATACAGTTGGGGGAACCAGCTAACATAGAACACTGTTTCCCCAGACAAGTTATTACTTACATGAGTTTTCTTATTGAACTAACTTGTCTTTATACAGGGAACAGTTATATGATAAAAGTGTTATGTACTGGTAGGGAACCAGTATGTACTGTTTCCATGGTTGCTACGTGGTACAACAGTCACTTACTTTATATTGTGCATTAACCTTATTGATTGTGCAGAATATAAGTTGATTCCAAGTCTTGAAGCAGATAGGACTTTCGAAGAGATTGAAGAAAGTTCCATTGGTTACAATTGAGGTTATCTAAAGAAGGTTTTCAAGACTTGAAGTTTACATGAAGGAAGATCCACATCAAGAAAGAGCTTTTTAGGATCTTCATGTAAATGCTCCGTAGTATGGTTTATTAATGGATATATAAAGTGCTTTAAATATATCGAGCATCGTTGTGAAATTTGGTACAAGGATTGGAACAAATTTCATAACATGTTCAAGTCAGGGAACCAGGTCTGGGGACCAGGTTAACTGATCAGGTTATTAGAGCTGCGATTTTAAAAAGATTTTTTATTGAAAATTCAGTTTTGAAAATATATCTTGGCAGCTGTAAATAGATGTGATATAATCTTTAAATACCTAAAAACTAGGAGTAATTATCTTGAGTTGATTTTATCTTATAATAGAATCAATTAAAGATAAATACTTACCTAAATCATGTTTATCTTATTGGCATGATTTATGGTAACTAGGATTTCGGTTTTCTAAGACTATAAATACAATCTATTCGCTAATAATCTGAATAGATCTCTCACACGCATAAAAAGGAGTTTTTCATTATTGAGAGCAAAAGCACTAAATCCATTATTGAATCATATACAAGAGCATCTAGTGTTTAATATTTTCTCTACATTAACTTTTGAGAGTTAGATCATTAGAGAGTTTTGATCTTGTAATTGAGTCTTTGGCAAAGAGGCTAAAGGCTGGGTGAGTGTTTGTGAGTTCAAACACGTTTAGAACTTACGAGTGTAAGTTGAGAGCATACTCGGAGTAGAGTGTGGGGTTTGCTGGTTCCCGGAGTAGGGAACATCAGAGTGTTCTTTGTCTTTGTTATTCGGAGTAGATTAATAAAGGACTTAGGATAGGAGGACGTAGGCCAGAGTTGGCTGAACCTCGTTAAATTTGTTGTGTTCTTTATCGCTTTATTATATTCCGCTGCATAAGGGAACCAGCACAACTGGTCCCTTAACCATAATTCGAAAAGAAGCAAAAATTGCCAACGATTACTTAACACTCAATTCACCCCCCCCCCTCTTGAGTGCCCATAGAACCTTCAACGTTAACTCTATTATTCATCTTATACTGATTGTTACATTAATAATATATCAATGTGACCGTATTAAGTTTTGTACCTAGGCTCGATGTACATCCACATGCATGCATATTTAATTTGAACAGATTAATTGTCATGTTATTAGTTCAAATTACACTTTTAACTCGACATTGATGATGCAGTGGGCTGAACAATGCAACGCGTACTTTATTGAGTTGAGATGGAGTGTTGACAAATACTCACCTAGCCCCAAGGAGTATCTAAACAATGGAATAGTTAGTTCAGGAACCCATGTAGTTTTGGCACACGCATTCTTTCTAATGGGTACAGAAATCAGTAAGAGGAGTCTTGAGGAATTGAATAGCCTTCCTTCAATTATATCTTCCACGGCTACCATTCTTCGCCTATGGAATGATGCAGGGAACCATATGGTATGCACATTATTTTCTTGCATTTAACACGATAATATTTTATGTGGTTTATTTGTCCCTTTTTGTTTTTTAATTGAGGGACTCGGTTCCAAATTACTCGCAGCGATTTGACTTTTTGCACTATTCACATATCTCACTTTGACCATCCTTTTTAGCTACTATATAAAAGTTAATTTAATAATGTAATATGTTGTTGGGTCTATTTTAATGTAGAGTTTCTTAATATAAACTTTTTATAACTTTTATAAATATATAATAAAATATATCGACAGTTAAACATGTATATCTGTAACCGTGTCCACTTAAAATGCTGCAAGTAAATTGGGACAAAGGGATTATATAGATATCAAACGTAAATTTAATTTAATTATTCGAGATATGATTTTTGCAGGATAGGACTCCAAATGGAGAAGATGGTTCCTACGTAGATTGGTACATGAAAGAACATAAAATAAGCTCTTATGATATTGCGAGGAAGCATGTTAGTCAAAAGATTTCGGATGCATGGAAGTGTCTCAATAAGGAGTACATGTCGTCTACATCTCCATTCTCAAAAGACTTCAAGGAAGCCTGGCTTAATTTAGCGAGGTTGGTTCCCATTATGTATAGCCAGGATGAGAGTCATCATCTTCAGTTCATGGTGGAACCCTAAAATTTGTTGCCGCGCCCATGATGAAATTTACTTAGTCTAGATGCCCAATTGATTCAAAAAGTCCTCGCAAAAAATTAGATGGGACAAGTAAATTAGAACCCATTAAATAAATAATAAGACTTCCTAGAGATAGCAAATGTACTGTTTAGTTCAAAAGGACTACAGATCAGAGTAAAGTAAAAAACAATTTGACTTGCATCCTGGTGACCATCCACACCAGTGGCGGATGTAGAATATTTAGTGTGGAGGGGCACTAAATAAAAAAAATGTTTGTATAAGGGCTTGAACCTAAGACTTTTAGTCCAAAATCAATGCATTACCACTATGACAAAGCAAATTTGATGCTATTTATTGCATTAAAATTATATTTAACCTATAAATTTACATATTTATTTCAATAAAAAAAATAAAAAAAAAATTTGGGAGGGGGGGGGGGCGGTGCCACACAGGCCCCTTCATAGATCTGCCAATGATCCACACATTTTAATTTGTTTTATTTTGGACCAAATTATCACCGACTAAAAACGTAGTAAGATAATTTAATATCAATCATGTTAATTGTTAATAGATATAAACCGAATTATTTTCCACCCTTTTTGGGTTTAACAACTTCTCTTTCATTAGTTTGTTAGAGTACTCCTTTCAAAAAAGTTTTATTTTAATTAACTAGTTATCATTTTTATCAATTGTTTTGCTACCACTTCATGAATTTCATCTTAAAAAGTATTGATCATGACTCATATAGTAATTTCACCTTATATATATATATATATATATATATATATATATATATATATATATATATATATATATATATATATATTGTTGTGTTAAAGAAAAGAAAACAAATATTACATTCTTAAACATCAAGAAAAAGGAGTATTTTGGTGAATATCCCACTTGCTCTAGTTGCCAAGGGGCAAAGGAGGGGGAAAAAGTACAATTTCAAGAAAATGGGAAACTCCCAAGTGCTCGGACAGACCGGACAAGCTTGTCCAGTCGAGCGCGAGCAACATCATTAGGCTGAGCTTGCTTGCCCGTCGGGCGTGGCCATGCCCGATAGGGCACATAGGATTTCCGGGTTTTGAACGTCTCTTTGCCCGAGAAAATCATTTAGATATTGCTAGAGATAAAAAGTTGATTGATCCTAGGACGGAAACATTAGTTTACGTAAAGTCAAAAACAATTTTACTTATAGATGCCATTTTCCAAAAAAAAAAAATCAACTTCTATATAACTGAGGGGGGTTATGACTTATTTCAAAGGAAATATAACAGAATATAACACTTACAAAAATGTTAGATTTTTTTTTTTTTAAAATTCGAATGAGGTACATTACCAAACTGAGAAAAAAACGAAAAACAAAGAACAACTAGCTAGCAGCTATAGGAAAAAAAAGACACCTAATTAGCTATCAGCTCTCGGCATCATCTTGATCAGGGTCCTTCATGTTTTGGACTATCCATTCCTTTATGTTATCACTGTAAAATTGGTGATAAACCAAAGGTGGAAGAGTTTTCCTCCATACCACTTTTGCAGCCAGGCAATCCCTTAGCATATGCAAATTAGTCTCCTCTTCAGCCCCGCAAATAAAACATTTAGGTCTGGAGCTATTTTTCTCTTAAATCTATTCAAGTTACCAAGCAAATGCTCATGGCAAGCAAGCCACATGAATGATCTAATTCGATGCTGCACTAGAGCCTTCCACACCACATCCTAGCACTCATCATCAATTGTGTCTGTGCCATGCTTCATGATTCTAGCTTATTGCTGATCTAATTGTAAATCGACCTTCCGCTCCATCCTTCCAATAAACCAGATCTCCCAAGCATATCAATCGTAAACCGAACCGCTAAGAACCTGATATTTTAAAATCGTAAATCGACCCAACCCGATTTTTAAAAAAACCAGATACAGACCGATCCGAATGTTTGAGAGCCGTTAATGAACCGTACCCAATATCAAGCCGAACTGATACAACCCAAAACCGAGAACAAACCTAACCGAGTACTTTTGAACCCGATAGCAACCCGACCCATTGTAAACCGAAACTGTTTAAACCTAACAAAAACCCGATAAACCCAAATCATTTACAACCTGTAACTGGTTAGGATTGAACCGTTTATAACCCGTAATTAGTTATGAACGAACCGTTTACAAACCGTAATCGGTTATAACCGAACCGTTTATAATCCGTAAGTCCGTAACCCATTATGATCGTAGAATTTTTTTTTCTCTTTTTTTTGGTATATTTTATCAATAGTAAAACAAAAGGTTTAATTTGAATTATAAAGTATTTATATTGAAAAGGTTTGGAATTTTCATGTCATTGAAACTCTTATGCTACAATATTATTGTCCTCTAATGAGTAATGGCTTATGGAACACTATATTGTATTAAAAAAATTAAAAATCTAAATAAAAAGCTAGCTCTAGATTTGTTATTATTATTTGATCCTTAAAATCATTATACAAAAAGAGACATAACGTTAAACAACTAATTAATACTCCGTATGATCTACTGAATAACTAATTAAAGAATATTGAGGATATAATAAACGATATCATTAACAAAGCCCGTTTAAAACTGGCAAAACTAGTTGTCAAACCGACTAAGTTCAACTTGAACCGATTACAACCCGACCCGATTAGGACCCGATATGTGTTGATCCAAAACCCGCTTTAAACTAACAAACCCCATTTTTAAACCGACCCAATTTAACCCGAACCGATTATGACCCGAACCAATTATAACCCGACCCGATTAGAATCTGACTCGAAAAGAAACTATAATAAAAATAAACCAAACCGAATCGACCCGAAATTATTTAAAATCGACCCGAACTGACCCGTTAAAAACCGACCCGTTACAAACCGAAAACCGATAAACCAAACCCAAAACTGAACCGAAAACCCGATTAGCACCCCTAGCTTAAATTGACCATCACTATTTTTAAATCTTATTGACTGAATTTTCTTTTATTTTAAATGCTTGGTCAAACCTCTTTTTTGAGTGTTTTTTTTTAATTAGTTTTCTTTTATTTGAAAATTAGTTTCTCATTTTTTTGAACTTTTTTTATTTTCATAATTATTTTATTAAAATCACTTTTTAATAAAATCCAAATATCAGATTTAATCAAAAAAAAAAAAAAAAATTAAAACTCATTATTGCCACTATCATTGAATATACTTCCTCCGTTTTTCTTTTATTGCACCATAAGGACTTTTATACTATTCACTTAATCTTCTTTGACTGTCTTTTGTGATTTATCTATCAGGAAAAACATAGTCATGTGGGATCTAGTTAGATTCGTATTCTTGAAATTTACTATTCAAATATCAATTTATTTATTTTTTTTTATAATTTTTGCTCTGTATAAAAGGATAATTAAAGATATTAATAGCAATAGTAATGCATTGACAAGCGTGAAACCTCTTATGATGCAATAAAAAAATAACGAAGGAAGTATATGACTTAGGACAAATCCTAGGACTATTTGATGTACACTAATACGGAGTATTATTATAAATTGGATGTAAACAAAAATTTTGCTCAAAATTAATGGACGACTAAAGTTGTTAGTTGTTAGTTGTTAGTGCCATAATGGCATATATATTAATTCCCTAATAAAAATAGCATTTTAAATTAGAATTATGTAGTAGTTAGAAGTTTGCATTGTAGGAGTGTTTGTAGTGCGGTTTATAATTTTTTCAAACCGCATCGTAAAATACAGTTTGGTGTAGTGTGGTGTGGTTTGCGGTTTAACCATATTTTATTAAAAATAATACTATGTAATATTTGTTTGGTAAAACAAAACTTTTATTTTATTTTGTAATTATTAATTTATAATTCATATATTAAACACTCTATTTTTAACCTTTAATTAACTAATAGTCAAAGATTAGCTCATATATTTTAGTTCCTTTATATATATATATATACTAGTTTTGTGCCCGTGCGATGTCCGGGTTGTTTATTGAATTTTAAGATATATTTTAATCTATATGTCAAATTTTAAAATATATCATTGATACAAAATTAGTTAGCAATTGACGTATTTTTGTAACGATTTAAACTTGTAGACATGTAATGACTAATAATAATAATATTGGTGAAAAACATTTCTTGACCCTGTCTGAAATGACTCGTGACTCGACCTGATTAACAGGTCTACACACAATAATAAATTTATATTAGATTGTGAAGTATATTATTTTAATTGATTAGAATATATTATAACCCATGGATGTGGTACATTTTGAACTAATTCCTTCGCTCTAAAAAAATATTATGATACAAAAAATAAATTCATATAATAATTTTTGAGAGTTATAATCTAATTATTTTTTGAATAAAATTATAATTCAATTCGTACATATGAAATATTGGTACTTTATCAAAAATAAAACTCTAAATTAACAATTTTATCCTAAAATTATATCCAAAGTTGATTGAAAATAAAATTCTAAACTAACTTTTTTATCCAACAAATTGAATTTTATATAACTCTATCCTACGTGGCACGATACTTGGCAAAAAGTTGGAACGCCAAGTGTCGTTGTCTCGTCACCTGGCTAAAAGTTTAGCTTTATATATTAGTTATATGACTAGATGAAGCCCGTGCGATGCACGGTTTGTTAGTATTTTTTATAAAAAATATTTTTCATATTATGTGATTTTTGTTATTATATTAGCTTTAAAATATTAGATAAAATTCCTAATCTCAAAAGATAATATTTTGTATTTAATTAATTTAAACTTTAGTATCTTATTCGTCAATTTTGCTTACGTGGCATTTGAATTATTTAATTGTAAAAGAAATTAATAATCTCTTATTTAATTGGCTACAACTTAAATTTATAATCTTACATGGCGCGATAAGAAATTTAAATCCTACGTGGCTCTCTAAAAACTCGGGGAAAAACTCCCCTTTATATATATATATATATATATATATATTAGATTTTTTTTTTAATAAAAAACAGTAAAAAAAATCCAAACCGCATTAAGGTTTAAATATTTTTGAAAACCGCACCAAACCGAAAATCGCGGTTTGATCATTTTCAAAAACTACACCGAAATTTTCAAACTGCAAACCGCACTCTGTACAACCGTACCCTAGCCATGGGTACTTCTACATCTGTACTAAGCTAGTTATTCAATGTAAAATTTTAGCACCATTAAGTAGTAAATTAATCATCATACTAATCAATGCTCAATTCATCACTTCAATTTTTTTGGTTGAATATAAATTACTTTTGTACTTTTTTTGTTTGTTTTAGAATAGTACCCGTTGGAGCAGGAATATGGATGAATTTAGAACCCATCGCGGCCCGTGGGGATGGGGATAGGGATGCGAATGAAAATGTTAGGCGGGAATAGAAATGGAAAAACCAACATCTGCTTCTCCCCGTCCCGTTACCATTCTACTTTTAAGGAGTTAAAATTTAGTACGAGTAGTTCCCATAAAATGACCCTTATACACTTGCCAAAATATCGCGGGTATATTATTATATAACTTGTAGGACCAGTTAAGATTCATCAATTACCACAACAACCAAAATATACGTACCTTTATGTTGCCAAAAGTATTTCCACATGGTCCTATTCCCAATCTCTCAAGCAAGGCACCACGAGGTATTAGAAAACTAATGTCCTTTTATTTGTTCTGCTAATTATGTACAAAATTAAAGAGGAACTAGGCCAGCCTTATCGCTTCTATAATGCCTGCATACGTTTTATATACTTGTACCATAGTTGGAAGTACAAAGAAAGAAAACTCCACACTATGGTTGCTTATGGTGCCCTTCCACTCAACGTTTTTTCAGTGTCGTCTTTCATCACAAATAAGGAAACTCGAATACCCAATATGGCTACTTCTGTTGTCATCTCTACTTATAATTCAAAGAGATATATTATTGGTGATATAAAAAATAAGGGATTTAAAGATATTCATTGTATTGTGCATGCCATTTCAAAAGATAGCAGCTTCGTCGATGATCAAATCTCTTCTACATCAGTTGAGTCTTCACTTTAATACATATTTAGCGCATGTTTAATTAGTACTTTTTTTTTCATTTTTTTACACGATTTTATATACATAAATGGATATTAAAAATCCTACATGAATATGTTTTTCCATATATAAAAACTATATATGTATGTATTGTAGAACCGCTTGCTTGCAATTTTTTATGTTTTTGCTTATCCAAAGGAGAATACATTCTACATAAAGTGGATTAATTTTTGCCTAGTGTTTATAACAAATATAGTCAAATATTTAATTCTTTTCTTTCTTTTTTTTCAGGATGAAAATCAGCTTGATGAGTTGGTGAAAAAGATTAAGATGAAAATAATGGCAAGTAAAAGATATGGTGATATAGATGAATTAATTATAATTGATGCTATACAACGAATAGGTGCTGAATATTATTTTCGGGATGAAATCGGTGCTGCTTTAGAAAAGCATTATGATTTATATTATAGTACGATCGGAGAAGGTACTGATAATCTTCATGATCTAGCTCTCTGCTTTCGCCTGTTGAGACAACAAGGATACTATGTATCTTCAGGTACTTAATTTTTTATATTTATCTGAGATAAAGTAAAAATAAGATTATAATAAGTTGAAACCTGGTATGGTATGTAGTGGCGGATTTTAGACCAAAAAGACAGAGGATTAAGATTTAAACTTTTAACCTTTATTTAAAGTATATCGACTAAACTATTGTGACAACTTTTTATGCTACCTTTACATCTCTATGTCTACTAATTTTTTACAAATTTACGGTCTCAGACCCTTATAAACCTCAATGAAAATCCTTCCATGTCGCATAGGTCAACTAATTACAACGAGCAAAGCCTCCATAAAGGACCAAAAACCATTATGCATTATACTGAGTTCTCAATTCATGTTCTTAGTACTGACCTTAATTTTATTTGCACCCCTCATAATCATGTCGATATAATATGCCAGCTACCTTAATTGTGCATTAACACCTATGTTTTTTCTTATGCCTTAAATTTGGCGGGCATGCAGCGGCACCTATGCATTAGACCTGATGAGCATAGGCAAGGCCCGACCTGGTTTCGGGCAGGCCATGGGTATGAATTTCGGCCCGAAATTATTTTTTGGGCGGGCCTTGAAGATGCATTTCACACATTTTAAGTTGTTTTTTTGGCCTACTTTGAATTGGCCTGTGAAGCAGGCCCGATCAAAATCTACGGGTTTGAAAAAAGCATTTTCAGTCCAAACTTTAGCCTGACCCAACTTGATAGGCTCCCTTTTAAGGCTCAGGCCAGGCCTGACCTATCCAATGATCACCTGTAATTAGGCGGCTAGACCTATATATCTTGTGTAACTCCTCCTCTGATATAAAATATTTTTAATTTATGTTGTGCACATAATTGTCAAAGCTATTTCAGTCAATTCTCAATTCTAACTTAATTAAGTCAAAGTCATAACTCCAGTTAGGGCCTGTTCTCTTCCGTTGAAATTCAGTTCAGTTCAGTTCAGTTCAGCTCTTAATTTACGTCTAATGATATTGCTAATGATATAAAGCCAAATTTCATTCTTTTAAGCTCTTATTATAACGACGACGACAACAACAACAACAACAACAACAACAACAACAACAACAACAACAACAATAATAATAATAATAATAATAATCAATAAGTAATAAATAATAATAATAATAATCATCAATAAATAATAATAATAATAACAATAATAATTGAAATAATAATACTAATAATAATCATCAATAAATAATAATAATAATAATAACAATAATAATTGAAATAATAATACTAATAATAATCATCAATAAATAATAATAATATTATTAATAATAATAATAATATTAATAATAATAATAATAATAATAATAATAATCAATAAATAATAATATAATAATAATAATAATAATCAATAGTTAATAATAATAATAATATTAATAATAATAATAATAATAATAATATATATTATTATTATTATTATTAATATGTACATTTGTATATACACATATGTATTGTAATAAATAATCAATAAATAATCAAATATCACTAATCCGTAGTTAAAAATCACTAATTAATAAGTTCATTTCAGTTCAGTTCAGCTCAGTTCAGTCAATCGGAACAGGCCCTTAGCTTATATATCAGAGAAAAAGCAATTTCAGAGAAGAAGTTGTACTGTGGTCCTCTTTTTTTTTTTTCTTTTTTTTTTTTTGACCCTTTTTGTTTTTGACACCCTTGGTCCATTTTTATGGTATCTCTCTTTAAACTAGAAAAAATATAATTCATTGTCCCAAGGAGTAAATCATGTTCACTAAACCATGTATACACGTTACTTTCTTATATATATCTATGTCTATATGTTGTTCATATATATGTTGTGCACAAATCAAACATATATATATTGCGTAACCAAATTGTATCGCTAGATTGTCTTATCCATTTTTTAAATTCCCAATGTAGATGCTTTGGAAAAATTCAAGGACAAAAATGGGAATTTCAATCAAGAACTTGCAAAAGACATAAAAGGGTTGATGAGTCTATTTGAAGCGTCTCAATTTAGCACTAGAAGTGAATATGTCCTTGATGACGCAAATAAATTTAGTCGCAAACTATTGAAGGCCTCGTTGAAGAATGTTGAACAACATGAGGGTATGGTAATAGGAAACACACTTCGTTATCCATATCATAAAAGCTTGCCAAGAGTTATGGCCAAAAAGTTTCTTCCTTATTTCAAATCATCCCTAATGTTTCTCCACGATTCCAATCATATCAACGATTGGATAAACGAGGTATATAATCTAGCAAGGATCGACATCAACTTGGCTCAAATCTCACAACAATTGGAAATATCTCAAGTTTCAAGGTATATAAATGTACATGTACGTCTAATATTTATAAGGCACATATCATAGAAATATCAGGTATATCTTCATATTTTTTTAAAGGAAACGCTATTCATAACTCTAAGGGCTATATTTACGAAGTTAAAAGAGAAGTACTAATTTGTTATGTATATTTAAACTAATATGGAGTACTATAAAAGAAAAGATATTATTTAATGTTTATTTGTCGCGCACAAATATCTTTCCTTTTAGTGATTTACCATGTTTACCTGATTACAAAACAAATTGTGGATTTTGCAAGATGGGTGAACGAGCTTAGTTTGGATGAGGAATTGCACTTTGCAAGAATTGAGCCATTTAAGTGTTGTAAGTGGTCAATGGGAATTCTTCCTGGGCTAGACATGTCCGAAGAGAGATTAGAGCTTGCAAAAGCAGTATCATTTATCTACATGATTGATGACATATTTGATTCTTATGGAACGTATGATGAGCTCTATCTATTCACAAACGCCGTTACCAGGTACTCCATATACATGAATGTAAAACTAACCCGACTTGAATAGTGTTAGAGATATGAGATATCGGATCATATATTTTCCGCATATATCATTCAGAGAATAATATATTTAAGATATTTATGTTAAGATATTATTTTGAGAAGATATCTTTAGGGTTTATGGTTATATTAGTATATCTTTATGCTAAAATATAGAGAGAATTTGATAAATTAAATAAACTCAATCACTTGAATTACAATCATGATGGCCATGGCCAATAAATAATACATCGTTCCCAAACCCGATAGAATTAGGAAATAGTCAAAGATATCAAAAAGATATTATGCTAGGTGTAAGGAATAATTTCAAGCCTTTAAAATCCCACTAGCTTGAACCCCACTGTGATCATACACTAAAGTACGGTGGCATCCAAAAGGGAAGAAGATAGAGCAAAAGAGTCGCCAACAAGTTTTTTAAGGAACTTGTAAACCGTTCACGAGGTGAAGGTTACACCCCTTAACGATCCAAGAGATCGTCAACTCCATAAGGTCATGAACCAAATAAGGGTTCGGGGATGATGGTACAAATCCAACCTAAAAGAGATTGAACCTGCCCTAATAATAGGCCTCTACTTTATTCTGCTCATATTCATGTGCGCTTTCTGATTAACATGCAATCAATAGGATTAACCCTAAACCTGTTTAATCTATGTTGGTTGAATTTAATACACATACAAATCTATTATTGACGATCACTTGAATTATAATCACAATTAACCTAACAAGATTATTAATTATCTTATCAAGCGTGATTACAAGTACCAAATTCCCTTTAAACATGCAATAAAGGTGATCAAGCAATAAATAATAAATAGCATATCAAGCAACATAATAAATAATCAATATCATGAATAATAATTGTAATAATAATCATAATAATAATAATAATAATAATAATAATAATAATAATATCATCATAAATTAAATAATTATAAATTATAACAATTATAATCATGTTAAAGCATAGCAAGATCCTAGGCATGATACTAACAAGATTAATAACAAACCCTAGCATGTCACTAAACAATAAAAATCAAATCTTTAGCCCTAACATGATACTAACAATCATAAATATTAGGAAGAATATAGGAAGCATCATACTTTTAATCATACTTGATATTAAAATTACCCTAGACATGATATTAGGAATATCATAATAACAATCTAAGCATGATTTCTACATCATAATATCAATTAAACCATTAAAGTACTTACTTGGATGCCTCGTACCTCTTTCTAATAACAAAATACACACGTTAGTAACTTCAAGGAAAATAAATAATCAAAACAATTAAATTAAATAATTGAAAGAGAGATTTGGGACCAAACCCTCAGAAATTAAAACCTTTCACGTCTAGGGCGAAGGCAACTTCGAATATGGCTAGGTGTATCAAGATCTTGTGAACGCGGAATTTTGTATTAAAAAGCAAAATATAAAAGAATACTAAAGAATCAATGTTATTGATGATTGATGAACGAAAGATGATGAATGAAGAAAATTGATGAGAATTGATTAATAGATGTAGATAGTTGGTGTATTCGTGTTGACAATCCGTCCATGAAAACGGAGTTTTGATACGATATTTATAGAGAAAATCAGCCAAAAAAAGATAATTTATCAAAACAGAGTCTGAAGACCACAGAACCACCTTGGCGCCAGCCCTGGCTCATTGGCGCCAGGACCAGTGGCTAGCGCCAGGCGCCAATGGCTGGCGTCTGGGGCCAATCCTGGTTCCAGGCGCCAAGGCCTGGGGTTGGACGCCAAACCGGCTTTTAACGCGTTTTCGAAATTCTGATAAAATTCCCGTACTGGAAGATAAAATAATATAATTTCAGTCGAAAATGCTATTTGATCTAATTAAAACTCTAAAGAATCCTAATTGAATTAAGAATGATGAGAGCCTTCTAGAATATTCTAGAAGACCAAAACCATTCCTAATTACATTAGGAATGATAAATCATATTAGGCCCTCCCCTAGATCATTGGGCCGTACTTAAAACTCAAACCGGGCCCAGTTTAGTAAATTGGCCATAATTTCCTCAATATTCATCGGAATTGGGCTTATAATATATCGTTGGAAAGGTCTTTGCAAGCCCCATCCAATTACACCACTATTGGACCCATATCATGGACCAACCAAACTGGATTGGCTGTTTTATTAAAATAAAGTTTTCAAAAACAGAGAGAAGAGAAAAGAAAAGAAAAGAAAATAAAACTTTCCGCAACACTAAACCTTTCCACACTTTCTTTTCATTCGATTATGATTCGACGTGAAAGGTACTCATCACTGGGTTTGGTTTTGGGGAGACACAAATGGGTGTCTACACTAGGCATAAAATATATACTAAGCATAAAATATGGAAACTAAATATATCCTAATAATTTCCCAAAATATATCCAAAATATATCCTCCAAAATATATCCTCCAATACCCCCCCTCAAGTTGGAGCATGGGGATTGTAAATGCCCAACTTGGAAAGAAGGTGATCAAACTGAGACTTCCCTAGCGCCTTAGTGAAAATATCTGCAAGTTGCTTCATAGGGGAGACATAGGAAGGAGTAATTAAGCCCTCTGTAATAGCATCACGAACAATGTGACAATCAATCTCAATGTGTTTTGTACGTTCATGAAAAACTGGATTTCGAGCTATATGTAAAACAGATTGATTATCACAAAACAACTTGATCGCCTTAGGGTATTGGACACCCAAACTCAAAAGCAATGCCTTCAACCATTTCAACTCATGTGTGGTTGAAGCCATGCACCGATACTCAGCCTCAGAAGAAGAGAAAGATACCGTGGGTTGCTTCTTGGTTTTCCACGAAATAGGAGATTTACCAAGAAAAACTAGCCAACCAGTCAACGAACGACGGGTAACAGGACACGCCGCCCAATCTGAATCACACCAACCCTGCAAAGTCAGGTCACTATCTGCACTTAACAAAATACCCTGTCCTGGAGTACCCTTTAAATAACGAACCACCCTGAGAGCTGCTTCCCAATGCTCAATCCGAGGTTCGTGCATAAACTGAGAAAGAATATGAACCGAATATGTCAAATCTGGTCTAGTCACCGAGAAATAAATCAACCGCCCTACTAGTCTACGATAAGACTCAGGATCCTCAAGTAACTCACCACTAGCAAGACTAAGCTTGTGGTTCTGCTCAATCGGAAAACCACTTGGTTTCGCACCCAATAGCCCTGCTTCAGAAACAATATCCAAGGTGTACTTTCGTTGACACAAAAACAAACCTGATTTACTACGAGCAACTTCAATGCCCAAAAAATATTTCAAAGGACCAAGGTCCTTCATCTTGAAACAGTCACCAAGATAAGCTTTGAACACAGTTAATGCAGCGGAATCAGTCCCAGAAATAATAAGATCATCAACATAAACTAAGACATTAATCTGAACATTGCCTTTAGTGTATGTGAAAAGAGAATAATCAAAGTAAGATTGAATAAAACCGTACCCTTTCAAAGCTGTAGTGAGCTTTGCAAACCAAAATCTCGGAGCTTGTTTCAACCCATACAAAGATTTTCTCAAACGACACACCAAACTCGAATCTGAGCTCTCAAAACCTGGAGGTAATTTCATGTACACCTCTTCTTCAAGATCACCATGTAAGAAAGCATTATGAACATCCATCTGTTGAATCTCCCAGTTTTTTGAAACTGCTATAGCAAGAAAAGCGCGAACAATAGTCATTTTTGCAACCGGAGCAAAGGTCTCACCATAATCAATACCTTCTCTTTGAGGATTACCAAAAACAACCAAACATGACTTGAGACGTTCAATATCACCATTAGACAAAAATTTCATCTTATACACCCATTGACAACCTAGTGCTTTCATGCTGGGAGGAAGATGCTCCAATGTCCAAGTTCCATTATCTTCCAATGCCCTTATTTCTTCTTTCATAGAACGTCGCCAACCTTCGGATTTCATTGCTTCTTTAAAGGATTTTGGATCCTTTCCCAAAACAACGGCTGCAAGAAATTTGCGATAATTCACCGAAAACATGTCACAATTTATATAGTGTGCTAGAGGGTAAGGCGTACCTGAAGGAGGGATTGGAGACGGAGTGGACGGATATGGATTTTTAGCAAAAACTAAGTGAGTCACATAATCACGATGACGGACATTGGGAATTTTTTCACGGAACCCCCTACCTAAGGGTTCTACACTCGATCGGTGGTCACTCGACCCATCGCCCGATGAAAATCCATCGGGGAAGGCAGAACTAATGGGCTGCTGCTGGGAAGCCCCCCGCGCCCGCGACATCTTCCTGCGGGGAGACAGGCTACTGGGCAGCAGACTCCGCGGCCTGCCTGCGGGATGGCCCCTGCTACCGCGGGTAGGCTGCGGCATGGTCTGTCTCGGGCTGCTGCGTGTGTTGGACAATATTTTCGACACTCGTGGCAGCTTGTTCATTGATATGTAAAATGATCTCGTCTCCCATAACTACCTCATTATCATAAAACACCTCATTGCTTCACCCACATCAACGTGATTCACCGAATCTGAATTCCTAAAATAGAACAATCCGTTTCTCCTAACTCCCGTTCCAATCAGCTCCTTCGTTTGATCCTGTACAACACACATATAAGGGGTTAAATTGGACAGTACAATTAAGCTCATCGATAATTTGTGACACAGAAAGCAAATTGCAACTCAAATTAGGAACATAAAGAACCCCGGTTAGAATAAACTTGTCCGACAAACAAACATAACCAATTAAAGAAGCCAATTCGGTGTCACCATTGGGAAGACCAACAGGACACTCTAGACACTGCATATCAAACAACCAAGATTTGTCTCCGGTTACATGATGTGTTTCCCCTGTGTCAATAATCCAAGAGGTAGCATCAAATTTTCCATTCAAACGATTATCGGGAACATTAACATTACCAAGCAATCCCGTAATTGCATTTGAAACACTATGGACTGAATATTTCCCCCCCTGGACTCCAGAAACCACACGTGTGAGAGGGGGTGACATAGGAGATGTTTCATCATCCCCGACCATATTATGAGATTGGAAAAAAAAAACAAGAAATTTTAACCTGCTCTTGATACCATGCTAAAATATAGAGAGAATTTGATAAATTGAATAAACTCAATCACTTGAATTACAATCATGATGGCCATGGCCAATAAATAATACATCGTTCCCAAACCCGATAGAATTAGGAAATAGTCAAAGATATCAAAAAGATATTATGCTAGGCATAAAATACATACTAAGCATAAAATATCGAAACTAAATATATCCTAATCATTTCCCAAAATATATCCAAAATATATCCTCAAAATATATCCTCCAATACTTTAGGAATATGGTTTCCTATCTTATGAGCTTAGGTTTTGTATAAATACTCTACCTATCGATGAATAATAATCAAGCTATTCATTCTCTCTTTATGAGATATCGGAAAATATATCATATACTTTTCGATATCTCATATCTCTAACAAATAGTCTTATTCAGCTTCTAACATTATTACCTTAAGCAAGGTGATCAATTTTTGCATCATGATCTTATTTAATATAATTTGCTATAATAAAACTTTCTTCAACTAACATTTAAGGCATTATTATTATTGTTGACCATACTATTTACGATATGTTAACATTTCATACAGTTGGGAATCCGCTGATGTTACACAATTACCCAATTGCATGAAACTTTGCTTCAAGGCTCTCAAGGAGGCCACAAATGAATTTAGCTCCAAAATTCAAACAAAGCATGGATGGAACCCAGAACGATGCTTACAAAAATTGGTACAACTACATACATACTGTATACGAAGTATAACTCTTATCATTAACATCATTTAAAAAATATATATATTGTTTCGGATGAAAACAATGGGGCCTTGCCGAAGGCCCACTGAAGTGGATGAAGACTGGTTCGGTCCACTTGATGCTGGGCCGAAGGTTTCCTGCACAACTAAAACATGTAAACTGGCCTCGGGGGTGGATCCGAGGAAGACCCCTCCGATGCCGAAGTCAAATAGTGTTTAGAGAGAAAGCTATGCAAGAGATTTTATGCTTGAGGCTTTGTTGTGTTGTATAAATGAATGAATTGAAGGCTTTTATACCTTTGCGCATGATGAGAGGAGAGTAATTGGGCCCTTAAATAGTCATGGGCTGACCATGACAATTCGGACTAAAGGACTCTTGGCTGACTTGGCTTGATTGGAGGCTCGGGCCTTGACCTTGGAATATTGAATCATTTAGTGACCGGGCCCAATAATATAATTGGACCCAAATAAATGACTAGGCCCAATTAGATAAATTGGACCCAAACAACTTGCCCCCCAGACCCGATTTGGAAGGATGACGGATCGGTTTGAATCCAATAAGAAATGGAGGGAAGTAAATGATTTAATTAAATCAAAAGATTTAAATTTTTAAACAGTTATTAATTACATAACTGTAATTTGGATAATTAATAGGAAGTGGAGTGGATAGTGGGCGGTTAATCAAGAGAGAGAGTGTTTAACGGTTAATTAAGGAGGCATTTAAGAGAAATTTTAACTTTCCGACCTTTGGAATTCTCCTTCCTGGAATCATAAGGTCTGATTTTCATTTCTGCCTCATTTCTTCACCAACTTACACTCGAGTTCTCGAAATAACCCACTTTCGCTTTGAATCCTTAGCGCAGTACCCCCGAATCCGAGCTCGGCACTCAAATCCGTCACTTCCACTAATTTGACCGGCGCATTCCGGCTAGTTCGAAGGTAATTTTCTTCGAGTTTTTTTTATTTTCTTGCCTTTTTTGAGGAAATTCTTCTTCTCCCTTCTTTCCTTCTTTGAATTTGATTATGGCTCGAGAAAGGATGCGTCAACCGGGTCGACGGGGTCAGGTTAGGGATCCCCGTGACCGCGCCGACGTTTGGAACGGGGAACGAGCCGGTGAAGACCCGGAAAGGGGGATTCCGGCAGTTCCTTTAAACGCCGCGCCGCCTCAGCAGGACGCCGAGGCTGGCGAGGCCGAGCAACCTGAGCAGAGAGAACGGGCTGGGCAGGCTGAAGATTTGCCCCCTGTGCTCTGGGACCTGCTTCCTGGGCATGCTGAATGGCAGGACGCCGAGGCCCAGGACGCCATGGTGAGAAATACCCCATACTCATGGTGGGTTCGGCACGCCGAAACCTACCGGTTCGCCGAGCAAATTGAGTTGCACTACGACATTTTTGAAGAGGATGGGCACTGGTGCCGAATGCCCTCGCCGACTGACAGGATTCACCGTCCCCCTCCTGGGTATATAGGGGTGTACACTCGGCAATTGCAATACGGGCTTCGGTTTCCTTTGGATCCCTTCGTCAGGAACATTTTAATAAAGTACAGGATCTCCCTGTGCCAATTAACACCCGTTAGCATTCGGCGGGTGATGACTTATCTCTGGGTGTGTCGGTTTTTTGCTGTTGAGCCGAATTTTCACTACTTCCGAAAGATGCATCAGCTAGTGCAAAACCTTCAGAGTACATACGGCCAACATGGGTCTTCAGGCTGGTGGCGAATAGAGAGTCGCCCCCATTATCTGACTATGTGGCCGAACGACTCCTCGGAAAAAGATTGGAGGGGTCAATGGGTCTGGGTGAGAGTTCCCGCTGATCCCGAGCATCCCTATTTTTTTGGGGCTCCCCGATACCTCTCCCGGCCTGATCCAAACATGCAGGATTTGGGCCCTGAGGACCCTGATGCCGCTCGTCACCCCAGCTACGAGCAAATGAGCTTCTTCGGGAAGCAGAATAACCCTGGGGGAGTTGGCCGAATGAGATTTATCCCGGCCAGATGGCTTCCAGATAACCATTACGTCTTCCAAGAAAAGATGTTGGCAGTTGTCGGCCTCAGCCGAAAGTACAGGGATGGTAAGTATGTTTGGCTGGGGCCGAGGACTTTGACTTGTTTAATTTTCCGCTTATCTTTGATGCTTATTCCCGTAGTCTAACCTTCGTCTGTTCTTTTCAGAGCTGAGCGAAGCTACTTCGGGGGTTGACTATAACCGGTTTGGGGTGAACGCTGAACGAGTCATTTTAGACCAGGCTCCAGCGATCACAGCTCCGAAGGACCGTCCGCTGCATCTGCACGAAACAGGCCTTCAGATCGAAGCTGTCGCCGAATACACCAAGCAGAAGCCTTGGTGGGAGAAGCAAGATCCCCTTCGGCCTTTATTACCTGAGGAAGCACAGGCTGCTCAGACAACAACTGACGTGTCCTGAGCAATCGACTCCTTGGAAGGAGGTGTTGGGACATCTGGTGCTGCTGAGAGGGATATCCCTGCATCTGGAGATCAGCCAAGGGTTCCAGTAAGTTCATGACTTGCTCGTCTCTCTTTTCTTTTTTTTCTTTTTTTTTTTTTTTACTTACACTTTGCTGCCCCCCCCCCTTCTGCAGTCTGAGGGAGAGAGCGAAAGAAGAGAAGGAAAGGCGCCTGCTCATTCTGAGGATCCATCTTCGTCAGAATCTGAAGAAATGGACGAGCAACCCTTAGCAAAGAGGAGGAGGAGGTTAGCCGTGTTGGGGCCTCGTCAGTTTCAGACGGGGATGAGGCCTACCGGGGGCATCCTCATACGGGATCCTGATGAAGGTAGACGCTCGCCGAGGGCTCCCCCTCCGCCGGAAGCTCCGCGTCCTCAAACCCCCCCTCCACCTCCCGAAACTCAAGAGAAGGAGGTGGACCAAAGAACTCCTGATCCGAAGGGGGGGTTCAAGGGCACCCTGCTGAAGAATCTGAGAAGCCGATTGCTGAAGGCTTCTCAGATGATATTGATAGGGAGGTTAACGCTTTTCTTCGTCAACCTGATCTGGGGGAGGAAGCAGAGAAGGCCGTTGCTGCTGACCCTGGTGGAGACCAACTGGGCTCCGCCGAAGGAGAAGGTCATGCTGAGCCTGAGAAGTTCAGGAAGTTCCCTCTTCCTCCTTCCCCTCATTCCAAACGCTGAACTCTGGAGATTTGGGTTTCTCGGCCCCCCGCATCACAGTCCCGGAACCTGTTTGGGAACGAATTTGGGGCCAGAACCGTGAAGGGGCTGCAGGTTACTTCGGCGACCTATCTAGCATGTCCGAAGTGGACCGAGCAAGGGTGTGGTCGCTGAAGGCCACGGCTGGGATGGGAGAATCCAGCCGAAGGGTCCCTGACCCTGCAAGAGACAACCAGCGTTTGCTGATGCAGGTACTTAACCATTTAGTTACTTTGCTTTGCTTTCATTCAGCTCTTTTTCTCCTTTCTGGCTTTCCTTTTTTATTATTTTATTTATTTTAACTGATGTGCCCCTGCAAACAGGTTGTGCACAATCAGACTCTTACTGTAGAATTGATTGACATCCTCCAAGACAAGCTGGAGCATGCCTGGGAGGATGCAAAGATTGCCCAGGAGGAGGCGAAGCTTGCTGAGCTGAATCAGCAGGCAGCTGAAGAGAAGCAGCAGCAGAGCGAAGAGTATGAAAAGAGGGCTGCTGAAGCCATTCAAACCTTCTGCTCGGCTATGGAGAAGGAAGTTTTTCCCCCGCTGATGGAAGGGGAGAAATTTCTTCAGGAGCAAATGGGAGTGGACATCTCCAAATTTAAAGCTGCCATCGAGAGCCGAATTCAAGAAGGAGCTGCTGCACAAGCTGAAGTGCAGCAGAAGCTAGAAGCTCTTGAAGCCAGCGGGATGGTTGCTGAAGAGGCTCTAAAGGCTAGGGATGTTCACCTTTCTGCTGCCCAAGCTGCTGCTGAGAGCCAGGACCAGAAGCTGAAGGAGTTGGAGGATCAGCTGAGAGTCAAGGGAGATGAGCTGACCCAGGCCAAAACCGAAGCTTCCAATGTCCAGCTGGAGCTTAATGAGCAGAAGACTTCTTCCTCCAAACTCTCAGAAGAGTTAGAAAAATCTAAAAAGGATTTGGAGGAGAGTCAAAAGAAGTTGGCCGACGCTGAAGCCTTACTCCAAGTCCGCCTCTACACCCAAGAAGAGTATGAGATGGGCTACATAAATGGTTTTAAGGTGGCTCGGAGGTTGTCTCTCCATGTTGAGCCTTCGTTGGATTGGTCCAAGTGTGCGCTTTGGGCTCAGGACCCCGAAGATCCGCACATGCTGTATGCCACTCCTGCTGAGCATGAGATCCTTCAGGCTGAACAAGCCGAGGAGGAAGCTAAGCGGCAGGAGTTGGAGGCTGAACAGCGAGCCGCTGAAGCTCAGGCAAGGGCCCAACCTGCCTCCTCTGCTGCTGGAACCAAGACTACCCCGGGGCTTGGCCCGGCTGATCAGCCTGATCCTCCAACTGAAGCATAGGAAATCGGGCAGTCGTCTTCAGAATCTTGCGGATCAACATGTGCTTAACTTCAGACTCGCCGCTTTATGAATCTCTTTTTGCCTTATCTTTTTTCTTCAGCTTGCCTTGATGTACAAACAATTTATTTTTGTTTTTGTACGTATTTCGGCAGCTGTTATTTTCCGCTTGTGGGCGGCTGCAGATATAGTCTTTAATTTATTTGAACTTGTAGCTCACTTTCTGAGCATGAATCATTAATCTGATGTTCCTTTCTTCAACTGCTTTGTCTTATTTTGAATGCTTTACTATTTCTGAACTTTGAAATTTTCGCAAAAATTTGCCAAGTACAAAGCTTTCGGCTTGAAGAATTCTGCTGAATATAAACTTGCACTGATAGTGCCTCTTGCCCCCCCCAGAAATCTGAATATTCAAGTCTTTGGATTACTGAGCTGGGTTTTGTTTCTTTAGATTTCAGACGAAGCTGAATAAAAGATTTCTATCTTTAAAAATGGATATCCGGAACA